CTGTCAACCCATTCAAACTGAAAAAAGATGAAACAGAAAATCTGCCTGCCAGGCAAGGCAATTAAGTCTGCTTTGTACCTTTAAATAAAGTAGAAATTGAAAAAGTTAAAAAGTTGTCTTTCAAGGATAACATTTATACAGAGTGAGTACTTTGAAATTTCTCTGTGATCTAACCAACCCAATTTCTCACTAGTACATCAAATGGATAGCTACAAACCTGTCAAGGAAAGCATAAGTCTCTCTGAATTTTTTCGGTATGGGTTAAGAAAAGAGCAAAAGATGATATATCAGAAAAGGCTAGGCTGATCTCGGGAGATCCGGAGATTGCCCTCTCCCAAAATTCATAGATTCATAGAACGGTTTAGGGTGGAAGGGACCTTAAAGATATTTAGTTTCAGCACCCCTGCCATGGGCAGGGACATCTACCACTAGACCAGGTTACTCAAAGTCCCATACAACCTGGCCTTGAACACTTCCAGGTGATGCAAAAATTAACCAATAATGAATTACAGATGTTAGGCTATATGATAACAGTTATGCAACATGTAATGTATTTGCTTACTTACCATGACATGTAGTGTACTTGCTTGCTTACCGTGTATTGTGTTGCTTATGCCTACCTATGATAAGGAAAAGGGTGTTGCATGGCTCCTGATTATCTAAACATCCAGACTCCAAAACCAGCTAAAGACTGGTTTTGCATTTTGCACCAAGACCAGAGAGCCAGGGAACATGTGCAAGGAGACAAGGTGAAAAGTTCAACCCTGAGGAAGACTTGTTTACTTCATCAGAAGACCCTGGCCCACCACCACCAGGAGGTACTGTGCAAGCGCAGACACAAAAGCTCATTATGAGGCGAGGATGGGTGGAGCTAAATCATGAATATGTACTAGCATTTCAGAAAATCTTACACCTATGTAATATTTTAGAGGATAAATGCAAAGGCAATCCCCACTAACAGCATGCTTGCCTTTGGAGGAGTTGACCCCCCATGTGCCCAGCACTGAATAAAACATACCTACTTGACAACTTTTGAGCTGGGGAGTCTTTCTATGAATCACAGGGATGGGGCATCCACAACTTCTCTGGGCAACCTATGCAGTGCCTCACTACCCTCTCAGTAAAGAATTTCTTCCTAATGTCTGATCTACAACTACCCTGTTCCAGTTTAAAGCCATTCTCCCTTGTCCTATCACTACATGCCCTTGTCTCTCCTGTACCTTAAGGTACTGGGAGGTGGTAATGTCTCATCTCTAAAATTGTTCCTATTAAAAAATGATTTATTTCAGAATCTCATCATAAAAAAGTAGAGGTGGAATTCTATGACTTGCCACTCTCATCACTCCCAGTCATGCAAGTCAATGGCCAGACAAGCCTTTTATTTTAAGCAAGTTACAAATGTCAACACAAAATTGCAGTACTCCCAGGCCATACAATTAAAAAGCTCATAAATTCTCTCATGCCAAAAGTAGCCCTATATACTTCAATATTGAGTATTATTCTAGCATTTTAACTAGCCCAAGGCACAGGACAAAGAGAAGGCATTAGAAAAGAGAAGTATATTTGTGAACTCTAGGATAGGACAGAACCTTCCCGTAAGTGCTAGAACAAGTATGACCAGAAGAGGTGGAAAAGTAATTCCTGGGAAAAAACTCTTACAAATGCGATTTTGAAGTTCAAAAGTTACTTCTTTTTGTTGCTTTTCATGGATGTTTGGCCACTGAAGTGACACCAGGATTGCCTGAAACAAATACAACCACGACATACCCTTTGATGACCTTCACTGACCAGTGCACAACTATCATCAACCCAGCTGACTGGGCTTTTCAGTCAGAGCTGGATGACTATCCTCAGATATACATCCTTCCTAAATATGGTGAAAAGGAGTTGAGGGGAAGCAGAGGAAATCATGGGGCTTGCCCTGAACAGGAAAACATATTATCATGCTCTGGATCAGAACTCATCACTGCAGTCCCACAATACCGAATTAAGTCTGCATTTTTCTACAGCATGTCCTTGCCATTATCCTGGCTCTTTACCGACGAGTCTCCCATCCTTCATGCAGTGGATTTTCAGTGGTGCCTTTGGCCCTAAAGAGTGCCTTGTTGACAGTAAACTTAATCTGGTACCTGCTCCAAGCAGTTTATTTATTCTTAGTTGTTGCTTTTTAAATTCTTTACAGTAGGATGACATAATTTGATCAAGGAATGGAAATCAGTCTATTTGAATAAAAAGCCTTAGCATGAAGAGGAGATTAAATGTTTTCTGGACTGAGTTTGGGGCAAAAGTGCCTCACTTCTAAGGACTGAGTTTCATACAGGAAAAGCAGGTGGATCAGCCCTTGCAGGCTGTGGTGGCTGGCACAGTTGAAAAGAGAGGCTAGGCACATTGGTAATTTCAACAGCTCACAAACACAGCATCACCTGGCTAGAAGCTCCCTGGCCCCTAGGCTTAGGACACTAGCTGTCTCACAGCAGGGTTAGTTAAAGCTGCTTTTCCACAGCCAGAGTCCACAACCTCTCTGGCAACCCATTCTGGTTCTTCATCAACCACTCAATAAAACCCCTTCTGTTTTTGTGGAATTGCCTGAATTTCAGTGTGCGCTCAGGGCTTATGGTCCTGTGCCACTGGGCACCATCTAGAACAGGCTGGTGCCATTTCTTTACTCCCCAGCAAGATATGGATAGGAAGCCCCTGAGTCAATAACAATGCTGAATAGGCCCCCCAAGATGATGTGACTCTACACTCAGCAGCTCAGACAGATTTTGAGATGTCTGACTTTTGAGACAGGCCTGTAATTTCAGCCACCATCAGTGTCTCCTTTCCCAGTATTCCTAACTTGTCTCTGAATGAAGAGCAGGATATGCTCCATGAACTGTGCAGGTAAACTGGTGTTTGGAATAAAATAGTTTATATTATTCACACAGCGCACCATATAAAATTACTTGATACAAGAAGAGAAGACACCCAAGATTTTATTGCCTTGTCAGATGTAAAAATTTATTTATGCCATTTATCACATGTTTAAATTTACACAACAACACTTCAACTTCAGGCCCAACTGTCAATCAGGAAGCCCTACCTCAGAATACCTTTGACACTTCCAGTATGATTTTTACAAGACAGCTTAGAACAGCAGAATTTCATAAATAATGGCCAACTTCACAAGCCTGAGGGTCACTGCCTCATCACTATTTCTCTGCTGAGCATAACCCACAGAACAGAGGAAGCCTTAAAGCCATTTTAATCCCCAAACACTACCACTACTGCATTAAGAGCATTTAAATCACATTGCCCTGCATTAATACCACCAAAGATTATAGCTAGTCTTAAAGATTTACCACACCTCCCCCTAACAAAATGACTTTTTTAAAAACATTACATCAGAAGGACTGCAAAATATGCAATCACCCATTTGGCTTGGTTTTACAATAATGTCAATCGTCTATTTGTTAACTTCATCTCTTGTGCTCCTTTCCCCTTCTTAGTTGTAAGTACACTACACCAGGCAGTTTAATTGTAGCACTGAGGTAGCATATTTCAATTGAACAGAATAATAGGTCTGCTACTGTGCCTCCTCTCCTTTAAAGCACACACACAAAAAAATCCCCACAGTTTTTCAACTTCTTTGGAGAAGATAGGCATCTAGTTAATTTCCAACAGCCACTCCATTTTGAATTCAAAGCACAAAGTCTGTCTGAATGGTAGATGCATTACACCAGCTGAAATGAATGTGAACATGTACAAGAACTATGTGAGTTTTATTAGAACTAGGGATACATTTTAGCTCTGTGGCACCTATTGTTCCCTATTATGAACTGCATCTTTACAGTCCCTGAAATTTAATTTCAAAGCCCAGGATTCTGAAAAAGGGCAGTTGTGCCTCTCCTAAATGATTTTCACACCATCTGCAGAAAGGGCCAAATAATTGCAACAAAACCAAAAGAAATCAAATGGACCTAATATTAAGTCAATAAGAATTAGCAACATGATTATATTAAAAGGGTTGAAGTTAAGGCAAAAGATACAACATGCCTGAATGAAAGGAGAATATTTCCCAATTACTTCAAAGTCAAAAGCTGGGATAGCCTTAAAAATAATTTTTAAAAAGTGTCACTGCAAGAGTAGAAGCTTAGTTTCCTAACAAATTGAGAATAACAGTACCTCAGCTTTGCCCTTCTGGCTGAAAGCTTTAAAAGGCTAAGCTGAGGTCAAGCTGTACTCAAGACTACAGCCTTAACACCCAGACTGTTTACTACAGTAACTCTTACAAAAACCTGTGTATTTAGGGGTGAATAATAAACAGTGATCCCAAAACCCAGTAGTAATTTCCTGCTCTGCATGCCATGCTGTTACACATAGCCTTGTAAAACTCTGTTGCACAGTACACAATCCTCACACAGCCCCAGGCTGGATCTTTGAATCCCCCTTCCATCTTTCACACAGGAAAGCAAAAAAATTATTGCAGTTAAAACCCCTTGAGTCAGCTGCGTGCATAGGGGAAATTAGGGTTTAACGCTTTGGAAAGCAGACTGAGAACATAACTGAGCTGACTGCTAAATAAACTCCCAAGAAAACACCTAAACAGCTTAGGGGAAAATGCTAAGTTATAATGACAGCTTGAATCAAGCTGTTTATGGAGGCGTTAATGTTAATCCTTCAAGTAACACAAGATGTACTCCAACACCTGTTATTAAAAAATTAAGGCTCTTATGAACACCCTCTTACATACAAAAGGAGTATTAAACAGAAAGAACTCGTTTACAGTAAATACAAACATCTGAAAAATCTCTGAAACCTGTTTATACAAATACTAATAAATTCTTTAATATTTTGTACAACTAGAAGGTGCACAGATTGGCATTCAAGCAGTCAATGCTGGCAAACATCTGTCAGACAATAACATGCTTTACTTGGATAACAATATAGTTTAAAATGTCATAAATTAAAAAATAAGTTACTTCACATTTTTTCCCCAGCTTTTATGTACATTTTAGTCCTTAATAAGATCTTGTAACTTTCTTCAGAAGCTCGAGGTCTTTCCGTCGGCTTTTGATCGCTCTGGCACAGCCATACTCTTCCAGTTGTAAAGGGATATACTTTTCTATCTGAATGAGCCCATGCTCAGCAGGACCTGTAAACAGCTTAATCCAGGATGGCTTGAAGTTTCCTCTGAAACCCAGAAAGGCCAGACTTCCTGTGACAAAAGCAGCCCAGCATTATCAAATCAGCCAAGCCCACTGAAGCACAATTAAGGACTGGTCAGAAAGGAAAGGGCATGCTCCTCTGAAATTCTCATCCCCCCCCCCGCCATTATTCAGGACATTAATCCACTCTCAGGTTCACATACACTGTGCAAGGAAATACTGGTTTGTAATTTCCTTTTTCAATAATAAATACTCTAAAATCTTAATTTGAAAACACAGTTAATTGGACAGTTAAAAAACCTTGTGTTCTCAGACATGACTTGTGTCAGGACTCTGAATGGACAAGAGCTACCCCATGTGGTCTATAAAGTGATCATCCTTCAAAATACCAAAAGTGTTTAATTTCTAGCTTCAAATTTTCTTATAACAGGAAATACTAGACAGGGTCAGGAAAACAGATTTGCTGGGTGGGGCACAAATACTAGCTTCAGGAAAAAAGTCTGGGACTCTTTGTGCAGTCCACAGGCACAAAAAACTGCTAGTCACTTCCGTTTGCAACAAGCTTCACACAACATCCTTTGTAGCAAGGGGAAGGGTTTTCTGCCCCATCAGCTGAAGTGCTGCCTACCTCCCCTCTCCACAGGAGTGGACACACAGCAGCCCTCACCAGTGCAAACTGGCAACCACCCTCTATCAGCTGCATTCTTTTCATGCCCCCCAACAGAAACCCACCACACCAACATAAACACACACATCAAGCTTATGTCAAAGTAATGTGCAAAATCTCCACCAACCGTTGCTCTGAAGATAAGGTGGTTTTGCTGTCCCCAGGGACATTAAGGCTTCTGCTAAATTATTAGGAATTGCTACATCACCTCTTGTGCTCAGCAGAACGACAGACCTTCAGAAGGAACAGTGCAGAGACAGCAGCTGTTATAAACACATTTTCTTAATATTCTGCTACATGCATTTACAGCTAGCTGGCCTCACAGTCCTCTTCTTTAAGAGCACTCATGACCTGGAAGTATTCAACCCTTTCTGAAAGCAGTTCTTAGAATTTTTTTGGTTTTAAACTGACTTCTAAATTTAACTTCAAAATCATCAGAAACTGTTATTTAAGCAAAGTTTAATATTTTGTATCAAAAAAACAAGTTTAGATATTGATCCAAACCAAACATATTAGAATGCTAACTTTTTCTGACACTAGCTCTTCATCCTTCTTTAATGATAAGCAATTTTCTCCATATAGGGAGAGAACAGTGTGATGTTTTGTCATACAGTCCTTGTTACTGCCCTTATTAAATAAAAAGTTATTCCTGCTTTAAGTAAAGAAATGTTATTACATGATGTTTAGTTAAAAGAAAATTATTTTTCAGGTGAAAGACAGGCAACACCAGAAACTGTAAGTGTTCAAAATTTGCTTTGTTTTCTTAAATAAGGGTAAACCATCCATTTAAGTGCTCCTATGTTTCTCCTTTCCCCTCAACTTAGATACATGTTTTGCTCACTTTCAAGTGCTCCAGTATAGACATAATTATCTAAATCCCCGTCAGAGAGCAAAGCTACAACCTACAGGGCATACTGGAAATTATGCATACCTTTGTGGAATTCCAGATTTTAAATAACCATCTACACGCTTAATGTCTACTCCAGAAAATAATTTGTTTCCCAATATTGTGCCAGTGCAGGCATCTACTAGAACAATAAGTATACCATTATCCTTGAAGGAAAACATGGTGTTGTTGACCTGAAAGGGAGAAAAAAAGAGAGAGAAAAGAACTTTTTCTTCCTTTCTTAAAATTAATATTCATGAAACAGCAATTCTATGACACTCAGTGTTAATCTTATTCTAGTTTACACACAATGGTATACTAATATCTTTACAAATACTTGCTTCTCCCTGGCATCTCTTTGATTTTCCTCTTAAGAGGACACCGTCAGTGGCTCTTCTGAAATTGCACAGAAGCCTTCAGTCCCTGGCTTTTACAGGGATATTGCACATTTTGAGTGACTCAATACCTGCTTTGGACACTGCTCCTGCTTCAGGAAGCTAGTATCTAGACACTGAACCACCTGGAGTTCTTGACAATAGTACAGTAAATTGGACCCTGCAACAGCCCAGTCCCAGCCCAGTTTCTTCCACTCTTACTGCTTTGGATATGGCACAAACATTCCTGTAGAAGTTTGCAGCTGCTAAGGTTATGCTGCTCATGTGCCATTTGTCTGCCTGAATAACTGAAGATTGAACCATGCCAAAGCACTGGCACTGCAGAATGTAATCCACATGCAGACTAAGCTCTATGGTGTGAGGGTGTCTGCAAATGCTATTTCAGCATCATGTGCAAGTCTCCTCCAGCATCTGAATGGAAAAGTCAAAGTAAACTACTTTTTTTTAATACAGTATCACATCACTAGGCTTATTAAGGCCACATCAGAACAAATACAGACATTTTGCAATTGCCATTTTGAGGACTTTAGCAAAACTTAATGGCTTGCATGACCCATCCAATAAATTCACTAATCTGCTTGCACAAGGACAATTTCAACAGTATGGTTTTAATTAACAGGTTGTTAGGTTGAGTTTTATTCCCAAAACCAGCCATAAATATATACCCACCCAGAATTCACTGTGAAACTGAACATTTTAAACTCTCCCTTACTAGAACATTTTTCTCTCCAGCAGGAAAGGATTCAAATACAAAATGGAGCTTTGGAGCCTCATTTTCTGAGGTTAAAACACTTTTTACTTTGGTTTTTAAACAATGAACCACTCTTTTCATTCAAGAGAAGAAAACTGAGGTCAACATTATGTAGAGCTGTACAACTGTTATAAAACAAACTGCTAAAATGATAGTTAAGAAGAAAACCATAAAAATACTTACAGATACAAATGCTTGCTGACCTTTACTTAACTCTTTTTTACCGGAAGAATTAATCTGTACAAGGAGGTAGTTTTTGTGAGGATCACTGGTGAATATCATCTAGATATCAAACAAAACAGTTAAGGACACATATCAATGTCTTCAACACTTTCATGCCAGTTTATAACAGATAGTCCATGCTCCAAAGCAAATGCATTTGTTAGTAGCATTATTTATGTTACTAATAATGCTAATAAATATAACAATATATCATGTAACATATTTCAATATTTTTCTCAGTTTATATAGTTGAAAATGATAATGCAATTTCAAGTTCATGCTAATAAGCAAAGATCCAAAAAATGGGGGAGAGAAGGCTGGCCATGTAGATCTCTGCAGCAAAGCTATCCTACATGGAGTGCAAATACTGCAGTGCAAGACACCAGATCTGTGTCTCTGCTCTGTAGCACTCTGAGCGAGAGGTGAAGCTGCATTTTTCAAGGAACAAAAACTCAAACCTTTTGCTACAAAGGACTTCCCATCTTCTGGCATACAGACAATTAACAATGTGACCACTGCAAACTGCTAAGTGCAATATTTCGTCCTGAAAGATTGCAGTTCTGCCTTAAAGTGAGTTGATGGGATCATCAACTCTGCAGTTCACGTAAATTTTTGCTTATTTTGTTTTACCTGAGTTGTGCCGCATTTTGTACATGGTACAGTAGTTTTTACTGGCATCTGCTTTATGACGGTTGGTCCTTGGTAGTACTTTGGGTAAGCTTTAGCCATGCAGTTACTTATCCCTTTTGCTGAATCTTTGGTCACAATCTTGATCCTTTCACATCCCTGAGATGAGCAATAACTGTGACCATCCCTATTATATTTGGCTTGAAGAAATAAAAACAGTAATCTACACAAAAAGGTGAAAAATAATCTAAATTAACTGATAGAAATATAGATAAGTATATTAAACCTTAACAGTTATATTTTGTGATTTTCAGAAACAGAAAAACTACAGTATTCACTTCTGTACCACTATCCAAACTTTTTCAAAGTATTTATAGTTTTACTAGAGTTAGGAAGTCTCTAATGACATCTGAAATTCCCCAAAATTAAAGGAGACATCAATACAAATGCAGATGCCTTGCAAGAAAGAACCAGTCCTCAAATCAGTGGCTTGCAGGAAACAAAAAACAAACTGCAGAGCATAAAGGTGTTCTTTGATCACAGGCCTTTGCAGACATGCAGCAGTAAATACTTAGATATTCAGCCTCACCCACCAGCACTAGACAATGTAATTGTGCTATTGCAAATGCCTAGAAATGCAATTTAGGGTGTAGTGGTTAATAACGTTCATAGTACACAGAGACTGGTAGTTCTTCTATTACATATTCAACTGTTATCACTGTAGCTTTTGGACAAAACAACATAAATGTCTTTTCAATAACTACACTCACCTGCATATTTACTACAGACAGACACAGTACCAGATAAGAGAATGAAATAAGTAAGATAATAAATCATAAATTAAAGATCAAGATTTTCAAAACACACAAGTGATGTACTTAATTTATTGAAAGTTGACATATCTTAAACCTCTCAGGATCAGAGTGGCCTCTGTCACAAATACTTTTGAAAGAGGGACTAGGACTTTTAAGTTCTTTTGAGAAGTCTGAAAACAGATTAGGATTGCAGTTCTGAAAATCTTTAAAATGTTCTTGGAAGAGAAAGCTTCTTGGAAACCCCTAGAATTTTCAGTTTAATAAGAAGGCACACATTTTCTTTGAAGACTAAGAAATTAACTCCTGAAAGGCACTACTCTGCATATTTTCCCCAGACAAGGGGTAGGAAATATCTCTGTTAACTGTGGTGCTCTTGAAAAGTATTTCTATGACAACCACTGTACTTCAGATTTAAAGACATACACATTCTTTCAAAGAGGTTTGGGGCTCCTTCACAATAGCTTTCCTCTTATGCAGGCATGTCAATCAGTTTCTATTAACATTATCAAACTGGGCATTTTAAGGTTAAATGACATCTTCCAGTAGGGTCAAGTTACAAGGAGTTACCCAGTACTGTTGTCAAAGTAAAACTTCTTGTCTGATCGATTCTTTTCGAGCTCCATCATCGAAGATACAGGCATGTAGCGCTCTACCTTGCTTGACAGAGCAGGTGATCGCCTTTGAAAGGTTTCCAATACTATAATAAAATCTGTATTTGGTTGGTAACAAACACCAACACGAATCCAGTCATTCCTGAAAACAAAATAAAATGTCATCGTAGTCATCATAGGAACAGTTTACATGGCAATGTGCAGCAAACAGATCACTTCAAAAACAAGCAA